GAGAACTTAGGCTTGCCTTCTCCACCATCCTATAACAGTGAGTTCATCGAGTTGCCCAAGTGCAAAAAGAAAGAGTGGCAGCCTTTTGAAGTTTATCATTAAGTTGTCAGAGGCAGATAGAAATCATCCTCTTGACTATCACTGTTCATTAAAAGCACATGATTTCATAACATAAATATTTCCAAAAGCCAGCAATATCTCTGATGTGAAAAATAATAAGTTTATTTGCATTGGAAGAAAAATACTTTTCAAAGATGGATTCACTTATCTTGACTTCTCTGGGTAAGGAAGGGTCCAATACAGTAAAAAAAAAAAAAAGGGGGGAGTGTCTTTTTTTTCCACGTATGTTTAGCATAAACGTCTTCACTTATCAAAGTTAAAAACAAAATGTGACCATTGTTCTAAATTATTTTCTTAGGTATGTAAGGATAGCAAATACTACAAGTTAAGCTTTATTTAGAAAATCTTGTTTGTACTGTTTGTACTATTTATAATTAAATAGCTTAATTTTAAATCACATGCAGGGATGACTGCTCTACAAAAATTAGTATGGGCAAGAAAAACCTTCTGTGAACTTACAGGCATCATTTTCTTTCTATTTGAATTACATCTTGATAAAAAATGTACTATGTCTAACCTCAAGAAAGAAGTTAAACATTCTAGATTTAATTATACTGAACATAGATAAGATTCTTCAATTAGAAATTATGTATTTATAATACTGTCTCCCAAACCCAAGAGAGTTTAAGCATTCCTGATTCTTTCTAGGATTTGCCCATCTAGAACAGGTAATAACATAACCTTCATTACACATTGGGAGATTCCCTGGATTTAATTAATTAGCTGTGCTTTTTGAAGGCTTAACCCACATTTGTACAAGTAGTTCTTTAATTAAACAAGAAAAGCATGTCATCTTCTAAAGACAGATGAAGACTGTAGTTCTCTAAAATTGCCATCAATAGATTACATCATTAGAAAACTAACTTCCCCCAAATGAAGACAATTCATCACCTTAAAATAGCAAATAATATTTTAATTTCTGTAGTTGATAGCTGCTTTTTAGGGGCTTGGCTACTAATATTTAAAATGACTAAAACAGCTGCACATATCCATGAATGTTTATTTTCTGGGGATTTGTATGAAGATAAAAGTATACATGATGTATTTCTATAGACAAATCTTTATCCTGCATTTCACTTCACTTGAAATCTATAAATAAATTTACAAACCAAATTATCAGAGCAGATAAATACCACTACACAAATCTGGCCAGGTCAAACTTAAGAAGGACAATAAAAGAGGCTTAGAATAAATACTGTACATTCTTCTTCCCATAAAGTTTCCTTTCTGCGTCTTGGAATCTAGTCAGGAAGATAAACAGAAAGAGTACACCAAAGGCTATAAGCAGTCGTTATAGAGCTCACTGGTTTCAGATACAAACTGATGCCAACACAGTGTATATAGCACAGGCAGTGTATATATATATATGTGTGTGTGTGTGTGTGTGTGTGTGTGTGTGTGTGTGTGTGTGTGTGTGCATTATCTATTTATATGTTTATGTCTGTGTGCATGTATATATGTATGCGTATATACTACACATATATATACACACACGTATGTATATATACATGAAAATGAATGCATTACCCACTTATGTTGGCCTTTGCCTTATAAATATGAGTACACATAAGATCTATAGTCATTGATTAGCTCCAGTTCTGACAGGAGGTCTCCCTCCCACAAGTATGGCTTGTGCACAGATACCTCTGGTGTGATTGAGGTTTACGAAAAAAAGATGGCAGGCCGATGCCAATTCTCTTCAGACATCTTGCTTGGATTTTTTTTTTCTTTTGAGATATAATTCACATACCATAAAATTCATCTTTTAAAATATACAATTCAGTGGTTTTACTACATTCTCAAAGTTGTACAACTGTCACCACTATCAAATTCCAGAACATTTTCATTGTGCTTAGGGTTCTAAAATTTAAATTTATACCAACACCATTTCATCAAGTGTTAGATACAGGTGAGCACAGTGACATAACCTCAGAAGTAGATATTTGCATATATCATAAAAATAGACACAAAACACATGTTTAGATAGCTACAGCAAGAATGTGACTACTGAGAGCTATCCTCTTTTTGTACCCCACCATGCCCAAGAGAAATAGTATCAAGCTGAAAAAATCTCTTGGAATATCTTAAGGTATGACATTTCTGGCCTTCTTTTTTTTTTTTTTTTTTTTTTAACTGACACAATCTTCCTAACTCCCTTGCCATATGGCAAGCTAGAGGATAAACAAGGCATTTTAAACACTATGGATCCTAATGGTTGAGGAGGGGTTGTCAGTGAACTAGTATAAGTTCTAACTCAATGCCTTCAAAGATCTTCCCAAGTTATTCTTGAGAATTTTCGGGTTCCCAGTCCAAGAACTATGAATTATAAAGTGCTTATTCCCAGGGCACAGATCTTATTCTTGACAGGATTAAATTTATAAGTTGCTAAAATGTATTTCCTAAGACACCTTCCTACTTTAATGAATACAGCTGTAATTAGCTTCTTAAACTAGATAGTGAATATCTGAAAGAACAAATCTGTTGATGGTTGGACACTATGTTGTCAAGTGTCACCTTGAAAATGTAATTATAATGTGAGGACTATAACTTTACCAAGTTTATCTCCAGTACAAATTTCCAGACATTATTAAAAGTGGGGCTTCCCTGGTGGCGCAGTGGTTGGGAGTCCGCCTGCCAATGCAGGGGAAATGGGTTCGTGCCCCGATCTGGGAGGATCCCACATGGCGCAGAGTGGCTGGGCCCGTGACCCATGGCCGCTGAGCCTGAGCGTCCGGAGCCTGTGCTCCGCAATGGGAGAGGCCACAACAGTGAGAGGCCCGCATACAGCAAAAAAAAAAAAAAAAAGTGTATAGAAATATTAGTTGGATGATGTATTGACAAGCTATTACAATAATACAAAAGAAATAGCTATAGAGGGTATCTGATATGCATAAATAGAGCATTCAAGCTTAAAAGTAGTAACTGTTTGCAAAACAAAGACCAAAAAAAAGTTTAATTCTACTTTGACCCCTCAGTAAAAACTGTACACATCAATAGTATATGTGTGATAATTACTTTTTAAGAAATAATATGCATTGTACTATTTATTTATACATAGCTGCTTTGACACAAAAAGGATATAAGAAATAATAAGTTCAGTTCCAGGCTGATTTTAAATACACCATTTTAGTCTTTCATTTCCCTCTCTTCTATTTTGAAGTATCCTTCCTAGGTTTTACTCATAACGATGGCAACAATAAGAAAATTAGAATGATGCAAGCAGTAGGAGAGCTTCACTTTGGATCCTTAATAATATTTTATAATGACTACTTCAAGCCTTTCTAAAGCAGCATGCTACATAAGCTGCATTAAAACTGGTTTTATTGAGGGGTGGAAATTAACTTCCAACTTTATCTATGAGCACCTTATATGGTAATAGTTATCTGCCATAGCAATATGTGGGATTTTATTATCAGCTGGTTTTATAAACAAGGGCAGTAACACACTGATGTTAGATTATTAGGTAGCAATACTCGAGAGAAATAGGAGAAAGATAATCAAGGGACTGGTGGAGCAGACATAAATAAGGTGATATTATTCTAGTAATAATTGGGTAATTAGAGGCAGTGGACCTAATAAGGCTAACCACAACCATTTATTGAACACCAACTATGTGCTGGGTACTTAACATATAACATCCCTCAGCCTCACAACAACCTTTCAAGGAAATGTGTATACTATATGTTTTACAGTTGAGGAAGAGGCTCAATAATTAGTCCAAGATGCTGAACAATGGCATAGGGGTTAAAACCCCCAACTTGGACTCCAAATTCTGTCTCCTTTTTCAGAAATTCAGGTTTTGAACTCAGATCTGACTACAAAATCCATACACTCCTTCCACCATTCCCCTATGTGAACCTCCAATGCTATTCAATTCAGCAACGGAGACGAGATATACTGTGTAACTGCAGCTGCCCGTGTCCAGCTCTCTGACTACATAGAGGCAACTCTAGTTATACAAGCAGGAGTCATCCCACAGTGGGTGGTTTAATTAATAATGTCATTGCAGTACTTTTTGGCATTGCTGGTGCTCAGCGTATGAATACAATATTCTCTTGTCCTAATGTACGGATGTGGAGAGGGAGGGAATCATTCTGTATCTGTAGGAATCTGAAGAATTAAAACATGTTGAAGAGAGACAGGAATATTTCAGTTGGAAAAAAAATAAGTTTGAAATCAGTACTTCCCCAACGTTGTTTCATGGAAACACTGTTGCTAATTACCATTGAGGAGACCTTTATGACTGGCCCCCATTTTTTAAAATACTACAATTAACTAAGATATTAAACTGAAATCATCTTGATTCTTGAACCGCACACTGTAATGAAATGTCACTGTTACTCATAAATTTGTTTGTGGAAATAAATGTTGCAACAAACACCATGACTATGCTCAATATAGCTTTGTGGTTTTTATTTTTCCTTTCGAGTGAGTTTGTATTTTGAACATTGGCTACAGACAGAGGTAAGTCTGAAACATTCTTGTGCCAGTCTTGGAGCAGTTCGCCTTCTAAAAGTCTTTGTGGATGTGACTGTGCACAGCTAAAACCGTACTTTGCCATTTTCCTTTTTTCTCATTTTTGAAAGTAGTCGATAGCCACTTTCTCTCTTTCTTTTTCCCTCTCTTTCTCTCAGCTTCTTATGAAGACTCCCGGTATAAATGCAACGGGTGAAGTTACCTACAAATATACAAACTGAAAGAAAAGAAATATTATGGTTGGCCACTCAGGAGTCTCCTGAGATGAAAACATACCTGGACATTGAGCATGGTCAGAGAGTCTACATCAACCAAGAAGGAACAGAGGGAACAAACTTTCCACAGCTGCTACTTTAGGGGAAAGAAGGCACTTGGCTCTGACAGGCGACCCCTGTCTCCCATACCTTGTATCTATCCATTGGGTCTTCCTGCTGCAGCTGACTCTCTCGCATTGTCTGATATTCTTTCTCATATTTCTTTAGCTTCTTGGTCGGTACCTGCAGGGATTAGAGGACGAGCATGTTAGTCAAGGAGATCATTTAGGAAACCATTTTCTGATGTGTTTCCCAATGAAGTCTCTGGCATTCTAAAGGAGCGCACCAGACTCAATGCAGGGGGAAAATCTAGATTCTAGAACAGGGTCTGCAAACTTTTTCTGTAAAGGTCCAGATAGCATATATTTTAGGCTTTGCGGGCCACACAATCTAGGTCACAATTCTACTGTTGTTATTGCACAAAAGCTGCCATGGGTAATACACAAACAAATGAGTATGGCCGTGTTCCAATAAAACTTTATTTACCAAAATGCGCTGTAGTCTTTTCTACGACATTGCTGATATAGCATCACTTTTTCTTGTTAATGTATTTAACAGTGGTGTTAATTCTGTTAACTAACTTTCTTTAAGTAAAATTCACTCTCCCAACATGTTAAAAGTGAGAATTATTATTTTATAAAAATAAAATATTGAGCAACACACAAAATTTTTAATGGAGCTAATAATATATCAGAGAGAAAACAGATTCTAAAATTGGTAGGCAAATTTCTATTTCATAATGGTTGTCAGGAGAATTAAATGACAAAGTATCTAAAATAATGCCTGGCTCATTGAATTTTTTAAAACAGTTTTTTCAGAATTTTTTAAAACAATATTTTCAGAAAATATTCAAAAAAATTAATCCATTTTAATCTATTACATGTTATATATAACAGACTAAGTCTACTCTTAGGCTTTTCTTGGACAATCAAAATTATATAATTCCTTTAAACATCAAAATCTTTCCTTAACGTTCAGGTCCTAACGTAAATGACTTGAAATGAAGAATAAATTTATCGAAATTTTTTAAAAGATAAGTGCATTATTTGGCTAATTACTGGGGGCTCAGTGAAGGCAAGGATCATGTATTGATGCCCCTCAGCATCCAACATGATGCCTACCAATGTAATTGGCCCCTAGGAGGCCCTCAACAGATTGTTTCTTGTCGACTTCAAAACATGGTATTTAGAAAACATGTAAGTGTGTGAGAGAGAGAGAGGGCAAGAGAGAATGGAAAGCACCAATGAAAATAAAATTATCTTATGGTTTTCCGGGATGAGGATAGTTTCAATTCTCTGAAATCTGGCCACAGAATTTGTTAAATAAAACGCAAAGACACCAGGTGTCATTCCCCAGCTTATTCTAATTACTTTGTTCCTCCCATCCAGGAGCACTGTGAGTACTGGAATGATCTGCTTCTCACCACAACTGGGAAGCTGCACACAGTCCAAAGCTGTCAGGTAGTGTAAATCATTCAATTACCACATGATGACAGTATTCACTTGGCTGATGGGGGACTGCCTACCCAATGAGACTAGAAGAAAGAACATTTTCCAGCATGTCACTGAATTGCAAAACCACTGCTGAATATTGGCATGAGAAACTCTAACCCTTTACTACTCCATCTCCAGAGACCTTTAACAGTATGCTGTGACCAACGAGAGTGCAAGAGGAAGAAAAACACCACCTGCCAACTGCGTGGCCTCAAGATCATCGATAAACAGCAAGGAAAATATACATGATCGTGTGCTCACAAAACAGCAACAACGTTATTTTCCTTGACTTTGAGAGGGGCAATTTCCTCTAGTTTTCTTTTCTCTGTATTAATCATATACTCTGAAAACCAAAACCAGACTCTCAAGACCAAGTGGCAAATCACTGGCACTGAAGCAGCCCTGGAGCTGAGGAGAAAAGGGAAGAAGCCCCAGAGTTTTCAGCAGTAGCAGGGGTTTCCTGCGGATCTCTAGAAGGAGGGGTCAAGGGAGAAGTGAGAGGATTTGTGTGGAGGCATTGTGAGGAGGGAGCCTACTCCAGCAGCCACTTACCACAAAATGAGAAGGAAGAGTACAATATGTTAATATTTTTGTAGCTGAATACTGGTACCACTGGGTATCAGGCTGAACATCAGTCTTATGTGGAAGTATTTTCCACATAGTTCTAAAATGGATCCATTGACCAGTAAGTGAATTACATGTTACAAGCTTGTCTCTAGAGAATTTCTTCTAAAACTGTATTTTTTAAATTGGAACTATTACTGAGGTTTTTTTTAATACGTAAAAGAGTGTCCTTTTAAAAGTCAATCTTGTTATGTTAAAGAGGTTCATTTCAAAGTGAAATTTTAAAAAAAGCATTAAACGCCCCTCAATAAGCTAATCCTTTCCCATCTGGCTGAGATTCTAGGATGTTTGGCTTCATCTTGTTCAGGGAAACAGAGCAGGTTCCCAGAACAATATGTTGCTAGGAAACCTTCCAAGCTTATTTATCTTGTGCTGTGGGGGTGATATTGAGCATCCACCTGTGATTGGCACAAAGTAAAAGGGGAAAAAAGGTAGAGGAGGAAGGAGAGCTGATATGAAACTCCTGTGGTTTATGAGATAAAGAAAACAGACTGTTACAGTTTTCAAAACTATATTTCAGGACAAAATTGATTTTATTTTAGGGAATGTAATATTGAGCTTGAATTTTTTCTTATCAAAGAAAGGAATTAAAAAAACCTCTTTAGTATGTGGTTTTAAATAAAAAAACATAAAGTCATTAAGAATTATTAGAATTTAAACAACCTACTATCTCAAGAGCAGTATAGGTATCTCTCCCCTTAAATTAAATAAATTTAATGTAAGTGTGTACTTGAAGAATGAGATGTATAGGGGAGAGGGGACTTCCCTGGTGGTCTAGTGGTTAGGACTCTGAGCTTCCACTGCAGGGGACATGGCTAGATCCTTGGTCAAGGAACTAAGACCCCCACGTGCCTTGCAGCGTGGCCAAAAACAAAACAAAACAAAAGAATAGGGGAGGATCTGCGTAGGTTATATGCAAATACTATGCAATATATAAGGGACTTAAGTATCCGTGGAGTTTGGTATTTGCAGGGGGTCCTGGAACCAATTCCCTGTGGATGCCAAGGGATGACTGTAATTACTAATTTGCATTACTCTTTCTAAAGGTTGATCATGCAGGCCTCAGTTGGAGATGTAGGAGCGGAAGACTGAATAAGAATACAGTAAGTAGTTCTCTCTCATCCACAGGGGATGTCTGAAACTGCAGATAGTACCAAGCCCTACATACACTCTATTTTTCCCTATACATACACACATACCTATTATAGTTTAATTTATAAATTAGGCACAGTAAGAGATTAACAATAACTAATAATAATACAGATAACATGCTGTAATAAAAGGGTTACTTGAACACAAGCACTGTGATACCACGACAGTTGATCTGATAACTGGGGTGGCTAAGTGACTCCTGGGCAGGTAGTGTACACAGAGTGGATACGATGGACAAAGGAATGATTCCCATCCTGGGCGAACTGGGGTAGGATAGCGTAAGATCTCATAACCCTACTTAGAACTGATCAAAATTTAAAATTTATGAATTGTTCACTTCTGGAATTTTCCATTTAATATTTTCAGACTGCAGTTGACTGAGGGTAACTGAAACCTCGGAAAGCGAAACCACAGATAAGGGGTGACTACCATATGCTTGACATTCTTCGTTTCCCATGCTCTCTCTCTTCTTTGCATTTAAAGCACGTATTTCCTGTTTTTATACGACTCTGATAGAATAAATATATATACATATAAGTATACCAATTAATTTTAGATGAATTTGTCTTAATAATCTTTACCTCAGTAACCATATCCACCTGAGTTACTTTATTTCATATTTTTTACTTTTATTACGTTATTTTGAATACTCCTTATAAATACTTGAATTTCATGTGCATTAGTTATTTCTAATAAAACATACTTCTCTTATGTATATGATTTGGTTAGGTTTCCTGCTTATCAAATGTGATTTTTATACATTTAAGGAGTTCAGGTGCCTTAAAACAATAAACCTTAAATTTTGGGTAGTAATTAATGGAGTAATAGAACCCTTAAGTCACAAATTTGGAATACACCTATTATAGTAACAAGGAAAAATTATACATAGAAAAGAGGGAAATGACACAATATAGCAGAACACATGTGTGGAGATTTTCAACCTGATCTATACTCTGCAGTATATATGGAATGATTGCTGGCATACACTGATCTTATGAAAATAGTATTTCAATTTTGTGAAAAGTTGGTTTTGAATTTAACTAGAGAAAAGAATCTAGGAGCCACTAGTGTTTCTCAAGGTGGGGGAACTTCTGGCGTTTCGGGTGGAATAATTTTTGGTTGTGTTAGACCCCACTTCCCATTTCTGAGCCTCTAGCATCCCTGGCCCATTTGACATATCACCTATTAGATGTCAGTCATGCCCTCCAGTCATTGTGACACCTAGGACTCACACACACCTTTCCAAACAGAAAGGGGAGGGCATTGAGGGATGGGAGGTGTGAAGGGTAGATGCTTGGGAAGTGGAATTCGTACTAAAAACCACTGTGCTAAAAATGATCAATGAAGGACTTCCCTGGTGGCGCCGTGGTTAAGAATCCACCTGCCAATGCAAGGGACACGGGTTCGAGCCCTGGTCCGGGAAGATCCCGCATGCCGTGGAGCAACTAAGCCCATGCACCACAACTACTGAACCTGCGCTCAAGAGCCCACAAGCCACAACTACTGAGCCCATGTGCCACAACTACTGAAGCCTGCGCGCCTAGAGCCCGTGCTCCACAACAAGAGAAGCCACGACAACGAGAAGCCTGTGCACTGCAACGGAGAGTAGTCCCTACCCGCTGCAAACAGAGAAAGCCCGCGCACAGCAGCGAAGACCCAACACAGCCAAAAATAAAAACAAATAAATTAATTTAAAAAAAAAAGAAACCCTCTTCTTAAAAAAAAAAAATTTATCAATGAAGACAAAGGAGGCCTGGCCAGCATGTGATGTTTTCAGCACTGCTCTGCTTTTGATCAGCAGTAATCAGCATTAAGAAAAACATGAAATGCCTCCACGTCAATTTCCTAACAGTTTTAAAGCTATAATTTAGAGAACTCTATATTTAAGCCTATCAACAACTCTGTGAAGTAAGT